TTATGGCCATTTTTTATCTTGATTAACACCATCTAACTTTGTAATTTGAATTTTTTTTATCTTCATTATCAACCATCTTGAAAAAAATATTTATCTACACAGACATAATCAAAACCAACATTATTATAATGGTTAATGACATCAAAACTGCAATCTAAAGAGTCAAACCAAACGAATCAAGCATACCGTACAGATACGGTATATGAGTGTATCGGTACACAAAGACATATTCAGAAAAATAGAAAAGAATTGGGGTACTGATACACTACAAGTACTGATACATGGCTGCTCGAGTATCGGTACACTGGTAGTGTGTACCGGTACACCCTTTACGATTGAAAAACAGGAATCAGGAATTGGTTTGAAAAAAACCAGTTTCAACGTAAAAATCAAGGTTAAATTGTTCTAATTGGGATTCTAGGAAGGGAATTTTGGAAATCAATTAATGAATTTGAGTTATACAGTTGGAGGAATTTTAAAATTAGGGTTAGGGTTTAGGAAATTTAGGATCGGGGAAAACAATGAGATGGGGAACTCCCACACTGGCAACCATGGCCACAACCAGTGAAGGCGCAAACAACCGGTCAGCTACCACCCCTCCGGTGACGGCTTGGACGAAACACCAAGTTTGAATCAAAGTAAAATTATTCTAGCTTACCTCAACGGGTTGGTTGCGCAAATGGCGGTGAACGGTGTCCACGTCGAGAAGGATGAACGACAACGATTCATTTTAAGGAGGAAGACGAAACAGGCGGTGGCGGCGATGAGAAAATCATAACTTTTTTTAAATAGGGTTTTGTAATTAGGGATTACTATTTGAACTAATTATAAAAAAATAAAAAAATAATTCAATTAAAAATTGTGATTTATTTAAAATTACAATTACATTTTTAACTAAAATATAATTATATGTTAAGTACCTAATAATATTATCGTTTTACAATTTAATTTATTGGTGCTCATCGCAGCTCACCAAGCACTGTAGAATTTTTGAAGTGTAAATATAGTTTACATGTTATATTTTTAATTTATAACATAATGTCTATAATGGACATTTTGTTTTTTTCAAACTCACTTTTTAACAACAATGTCATACAAATAAATTTTAAATTGCACTTTTATACAACACTTTCAAAAATTCCTTTCTACGACATTTTTAAAAGTCACTTTTCAAAAGCTATATCAAACTCACACTTGAGTTTTTATGTTTACATAATGATTTTGTATCTATGGGGGTGTATTTAGAGTTGGTTATAATTTTCTCTTGAGATCTCTTTTATATTTTGATATAGTTATTTTTTTCTCTCAGCTCATGAATTTTTAAAAAAATATTTTTCACCTAAAATTTGTATGCTCATTTTTTTCTTCTTCTTATTGTTTCACCATTGATTGTTTTTACTATTATCCGTAACAAGATTAATTATTCTAAAATACGGACGGCATCATTAATTTAAATAATATAATTGAACACATTCAATGTATGAAGTATTGTTTGTATGAATAAATAGTGTCATAATTTATCTTACAACATTTTGTATTACTGTGGAATCCTCAACGTTTAGCTTGTCTGAGATTTCTGTAAATTTGTGTAATCATGCACTTTATGGTGGTGATGAGAAAGGCACTGTGGAGTATGATATAAAGAGTAGGATAATGGATCACTTGAACATTCCTGAACATGAATATGGCCTTGTGTTTACTGTAAGTAGGGGCTCTGCCTTTGCTGGCCGATTCATATCCATTTCAAACGAATAAAAAATTGTTGACAATGTTTGATTACGAGAGTCAATCCGTAAATTGGATGGTTCAGAGTGCCAGGAAAAAGGGTGCAAAAGTTTACAGTTCTTGGTTTAAATGGCCAACTCTTAAACTTTGTTCCACTGATTTGAGAAAGCGGTTTTCGAATAAAAAGAGGAGGAAGAAGGATAGTGCTACTGGTCTTTTCGTTTTCCCGGTGCAGTCTAGAGTAACAGGGTCTAAGTATGCTTACCAGTGGATGGCATTGGCTCAGCAGAACAATTGGCACGTCTTGCTCGATGCTGGTTCATTGGGTCCCAAAGACATGGATTCACTCGGCCTGTCGTTGTTTCGTCTGGATTTCATTATCACATCATTCTATAGAGTGTTTGGATATGATCCATCTGGATTTGGATGCCTTCTTATAAAAAAATCAGTTTTGGGAATCCTTCAGAACCAGTCTGGATCGACTGGTTCTGGAATGGTGATGAGTACCCTCTCTATCTGAGTGATTTGGTAGATGATCTTGATGGGTTGGGTGGAATCGAGGAAAATTAAGTTGGTATGAATTATGATAAGCCCTCAGAAAACCATCCAGGAATGCAGCTGCCTGCTTTTTCTGATGCGTTCACATCTGCTCAAGTTCGGGATGTATTTGAGACGGAAATGGATCAAGATAATAGTACTGACAGAGATGGTACAAGCACCATATTTGAAGAAAGCGAGAGTATTTCTGTTGGGGAAGTGATAAAAGCCCCATCCAGTGAAGATGAGTCATTGGACAACTCATTCTGGATTGATTTGGGTCAGAGTCCGTTGGGGTCTGACAGTGCAGGTCATTTGAATAAGCAAAAAATATCCTCCCCGTTGCCACCGTTTTGGTTTAATGGCAGGAAGAACCACAAGCAGCTCTCTCCAAAGCCAACATCAACAATACATAGCAGCCCTATATATGATTATAAAGATCTTCACCTTGGGCGTGATGATCAGCATGTGTTATCATTTGATGCTGCCGTTCGATCTGTTTCACAGGAACTGGACTGCGGGAAGGAGATCCTGGGCGAAGCACAATTTGCAGGAACTCATAAGAAGGCTTCAGATTGTTCACATCTTCTGGAAATCCAGGAAGAACGGGATACCAGCAAATCACTGGCTGCGGAGTCTGTACTAATTCCTGTCTTTCGGAATAATGGCTTAGCAAATGGCTCAATGTCGGAAATTACCTCGGAGATTAAAGACAGTGCCATTAGAAGATAAACAGAAGGTGAATTTAGGTTACTGGGGAGGAGGGAAGGAAATAAGTATAATGGTGGTAGATTTTTTGGGTTAGAAGATGGACATCCTAGTAGGGGAAGAAGGGTCTCCTTTAGCATAGAGGATAGTCGAAAAGGGAACACGAGTTGTACTTTGGAGCCAGGAGAAGCATCTGGGATCAGCCTTGATAACGAAGAATACACCAGCGATGGAGAATATGGTGATGGACAAGATTGGGACAGGAGGGAGCCGGAGATATCTTGTCGGCATCTTGATCACATTTACATGTTAGGGCTCAATAAAACCACTCTTAGATTACGATTTTTGATTATTTGGCTTGTAACCTCGTTACTGCAGCTCAGATTACCTAATTCAGATGGAGATGGAAGGGCGAATCTTGTTCACATATATGGCCCAAAAATAAAGTGTGAAAGGGGTGCAGCAGTGGCTTTCAATGTGAGGGATCGAAACCGGGGACTCATTAATCCGGAGATTGTACGGAGTTGGCTGAAAGAGAAGGTATCTCTCTTGGTATAGGTATCCTCAGTCACATACGAATATTAGATAGTCCCCGACGAGTGGTTTCAAACCTTGAGGATACAACGCTGTGCAGACCGATGGAAAATGGTCGACATAACAGGAAAAGTGGGTTCGTTAGAGTTGAAGTCGTTACAGCATCATTCGGCTTCCTTACTAATTTCAAGGATGTCTATAAGTTGTGGGACTTTGTGGCAAAGTTCCTTAACCCGGAATTCATCAGAGAGGGTACACTTCCAACAGTCGCAGAAGAAGAATCTGAGACATAACTTCTGAAATTTAGCAATTCAAAATCATTTGCTAAATAATCCGGGAGTCTGACCGGAAGATTCAGAAGTCCCTGGAGAGGATTTGGAGGTACTCATATATGCATTCCATGCTCATGTCAACTCATGTTTATCGTTGCTTGAATTTTTCTCATTTGGGCTTGCTCTAGTACAGCTAGTTTCAGAAATATGTACCATTTTGGATGTTACTGTAACCTCAAAGCAGTGTACAAGAACAGAACTATTACCACTTAATCTATGTTCGATTTGTTCTACGGTTTTTTATATGTATTTGGTAGGTTATTGGTGAATCAAATCCTATACCTACATCGATATATGTTTCGGATATTTGCATTTCAAGGAAAATGAAGAGCTGGTGTAACATAGCTTAGAATTCTGCTCTAGGTTGATACACATTTCAATTTTCCTTTGTAGAAAGAGAACGCTAAATTTATCATCTGCAGTTCAATTTTGATTTGTGAATTTGTTGTAGAAAGACAAACTTTAGAGTGGTTTTCCGGCTGGACTTCGTCTATGTTATGTTTTGGTGTCAAATTACAGTGCATGGAAGTGTTGGGAAATCTCCAGGGCAGGTGCTGGTGAGTAGAACAGATTTGTTTCGTACAGGGAAAGGATTGCAGATGTCGTAAGACCTGAAGCGATCTGCTAATTTCAGGGAAAGGATTGCAGATGTAATTCAAATCAAGACTCAAATCGATCGATGGCATCCTTCACTGATTGCTGTATGATGCAAAGCCACACCAAGAAATTGGATGTATTAATCAAAATTTAAGGCTAACCAATTCAAGAGCCTGATAGATTCTCTTTTCTAACAAGTAATTATCAAAGATTGGGCCATATCCATTTACTTCTGTTTCCCATTTTTCTGGAAAAACAAAAAAAAAAACGAATGCTTTAGTGGGTTTTCTTAATTCAAATTTGATGCTACGAATATGAAAATATTTACAGTGGAGAAGGGAAAAAGATCATATCTTGCCACTAAAATTAGCACTTTATATTTCATTAAACAATTGGCTGCCTTTGGAGCCAACGTTGAACCTTTTGGGTAAAAAGCAGAATCCAAATCAGTAAATACAAACAAATCAAGGTCAAGATTAAAATGAGATGATTTTGAATTTAAGTTGAGAGTAAGTGATCCAACCGCAATATACGATCCTTATCCGATAAGGATTTGAAATCAAAATTCAATCTTTGCAATTACTTTCTTCCATGCCAAAATGGTTTTAAAAAAAACTTTATTTTCCATAGAGATCATTCCTTTTGGATAGTTGGATGAATTACTGACACAGAGGGTGAGCGATGTAATTCATCTGCATGCCAAATGAGAATACTTGGTTGACTGATCTCTCTCTCTCTCTCTCTCTCTCTCTCTCTCTCACCAAACAAAACAAGGAAATTCATTGATAGTTGGACCACTTTTGAAGAAGACAATAGCTTGGAACTTGTTTGACTTCACTTTTCAAAGCTGTGCTCACTGTTAATTTCCTCAACAATGGCTTCTCATCTCCATCAACCGCACCATTTCTTTAAGGTAGTTCTTGAAGATGCTGCTCGGAGTGGCAAACTTGTAAGTCTCCGTGTCTTCTTTCTGAAAGATTTTTATTTTGTCTAAGTTCAATGAGAATCTGGGCTTTTGCCATTTGCTAATGTCTGCAGTTTGGTCAAACAGGGGATTCCTGCTAAATTTGCAAGAGATTATGGGGATTCTCTATCAAACCCAGTGTTCATTAAGGTCCCAAGTGGAAAAATCTGGGAATTAGAATTGGTAAAATGTGGTGGCAAAATGTGGTTTCGAAATGGTTGGCTAAACTTTGCAAAGCACTACTCGGTGGAGCCTGGACATTTCTTGGTTTTAAGATATGAAGGGGGTTCCCATTTCCATGTCATCATTTCGATCGAACTGCAACGGAGATCGAATATCCAGATGTTGAGCAAGAAGTGAAGGTTGAAGAGTCCGACAACGACGATGAGCTTGTAAACATCGTAAATGGAATCGGTAATGGCTCGAGAGACAAGCCGGGGCTGCAATGTCCTCGGCCTCATAAGATGATGAGACCAAATGTTCCCAAGGTCAAACCTGTGCCTGCAGGGTCTTCGGCTGGAACGAGTGCAACGATATCGAGTACGGTTTGCAGGGCGAGATCTGATGAAAAATATATGGCTTTACAAACAGTTAGCCGTGCCTTCAAGTCCACAAATCCATTCTTTTTGGTTTTCATGCAACCAAGTTATGTAGGTCCTATTACCAACCATAGATGTTCAGTGGTAAGTTAGTAAAACTATGCTAGATTTCAATGTTGCCACTGTGTTAGTGTTATTTTTTTCTAAGTTTATCTTGTGTTTTATGCTACATTTGTGCAGGGAATACCAAAAGAGTTTTCCAGATTATATCTCAAGGACAATGGCGATGTTGTTCTCTGTGATTCTGATGGGAAAACTTGGGCAGCTGAGTACATGTCGACATTTGGAAGTAATGGACGGGCATATGTGAGACTCTGTAAAGGATGGGGTGATTTCGTACGAGATAAGAACATACAAGTTGGTGATGTTTGTGCCTTCGAGTTAATTAATGGCAAAGAAATCTCATTCAAAGTTTTTATTTTCGAATGTAAGAAGTCATATTTTCATGGACCACAAGCTTTTACTGATGTTCCTCCCTGTCCGGAACAAAAATGTAAAACCGAAACCTCGTCATCAACTGATCGACAATGCCAGCAGCCACTGGAGGGCGGTGAAACAGCTTTCGGAAGCACATTGATAGCCCAGGAAACAGCTCTTCAGAAAGCTCTGGCTTTCACTTCTGAGAATCCTTACTTTGTTGTTGTGTTACGAGCATCATTTATGAACCATTCATTGGTTAGTTTTTCTTCATTTAAACGCGGCATGAGTGTGGGAATCCAGCCTTCAAACTAACTGTTAGGCATTTTGTTTTTGTGCCAGCGTATACCGAAACCCTTTTCCAGGATACATTTCGAGAGCTCCGTCACCAACATCAATGTAAACCTATGTCTTTCGAACGGGAAATCATGGCCGGCAATGCTTCATCAGAGAAGCAACATAGGAAGTCCAAAAGTAAGAATACATGATGGATGGAGGACATTCGTCGATGAAAACAATTTACAAGTTGGTGATGTATGTGTCCTAGAGATGACAAATCATGACACTGAAATCTCCTTCGAAGTACACATATTCCAGGCCATTGCAGATGCAAAAGGTGCGTTTTAAATTACGTTACTCGGACTCCGAATGTAAATATCGAACACGGATTAACTTATACAGGCTAATGCTTCTGGTGCAGGACCTTTATGCTGGACTCCACAGCGTCATAAAGCCGATATAGATATGGCATCAACCTCAAGGTCTCCATTGTTCAAAAGAGTTGTGCTGCCAGTACACCTAAAGGAAAAACGTTTGGTGAGCTTTTTAAGTTATATGTTGCAGTCCATTATTTTACGCCCTTAGCCCCACAATAACAGTACGCTGGAAAACTGGTTTGTGCAGGAAATACCGTTTGCGATTTTTGAGCGATATTTAACTCCGGATAGCGAGATGGTGAGACTTAAGGTTGAAGATAGATGTTGGCCTGTGAAGATAATGAGCAACCGGCGATGTCGGCGAGCTAAACTCACGAGGGGTTGGATCGAATTTGCAAGGGATAACTTACTGAAAGAAGGAGACGTATGTGTGTACGAGGTAGATACAATGGTTCATGGCTTGTTTAATGTATCCATTTCCAGGTCTTGTCATTGAACTTGTAACGAATTCTTTATTATATGATTAGGGAATCGAACCTGGGCTCCTTTTCATTCTATTTTAGTTTGGAGCAATTATAAATGGAAAAAGTGTGAATTTTAATATATATAAAAAATTGAAACTTTTAGAAAAACAATCACCTCCTCAGCTCTTCATTCGATCCATCTCAGCACGAAATGAAACCTAAAGTAAAACCAAACCCAATAGATTACCGTGGGAATAGGGATTTATAAACGTTTATGTGAGCTTTGTTACTATAATATTACAAAGACAAATTGGGCTTTATATTTACTATTTCAATATTATATCTCGGGATGGACTTAGGCAGGGCAGGTTGTTCCTCTAAAAATTTAAAACTATTATAAATTTTAGATTTTATTTATATATTTTTATTGAAAATTTGTTTTCGCCTATAAGATTTTATAAGTTTAAGTTCGTCCCCTCTAAAGTTTTATAAATTCAAGTTCGTCACCATAACATAAAATATTGCGCCAGTCTCTGATTACATCAATGTGTAGACGTGTAAAGTTAACGTGACATGTTGATAGTAAGTTATTCTAGTTTGACTCGGTTAATATTTTAATTGAATGGATTTGACTTAAAATTGTATTTGATTCGAGTTTGTAACGAATCAAAAAGAGTTGCTTGATATCCGACTTAAAAAGTTCACGAATAACTAGAAAAAAAATAAATTAAATTATTAATAATATTAATATTAATATTTTTTAAATACAAAAAAACTTTCATGTACTTAAGGTTCATATTTGAATTCGAGTTTGAATTGAACTAATCTCGAGTTTGAGTTTTAATCTAGCTAAGTCTAAAATTATTTTAGGTTCAAATTTTTTGAGCTCGAGTCGAGTTTTAATTTTTTATTTCGAGTCAAACTTAAAAATTTTAAGCTCATAAGCTTTCGAATCGAGTTGAACTTTAATTTTTTTTATTTCAAATTCTAGTTAAACTTAACAATTTTTAGTTTGAGAGATTTTAAGCCGAGTTGAGTTCGATTTTTTAAATTGAATTAAATTCAATAATATTCGTACCCGATTAACTCCTTTAGATGCCTACCGTAAAGAGGGAATCAAAATTTGATATTTGTATAAGGAAAAATCAAAATGTATGACTTTGTTAGCATAATTATGGACCCACCAAAGAAAATATAATATTTACAAGTCAGTGTTTCCACAAGCTACACATTGTCATGCATGACTTGGTCAATCAATATACTTACGGTTGTTATACCCTAAATTGCACGTTTTGGGGAATTTTCCTTTGTCCCAAGGAACCGCATGCGAAACGTACAAATGTTGTCTACTAGGAATGTCTCAGGAACGGCGGGTTAATATACGTGTTATCGGATATATTAAAAGATATTTAACAAATTCGGTTTGGCGCTACCGGAAATATTGACTAATAATAATAGTAGGTTTAAGTCATGAAGAAATATTAAAAATTTGTGCAACCGGCAAACTTAACTTGTCGGTTCGTGTCGATCCAAATTAAAAATGTATAGATCCACAACGATATAACAGGTAAAACTATGACAAAATCAGTATTGAAATGATAAAACCGATAAAGCGGTACCGAATATATTTAAAGTGTCGGTACTTTAATATAAGGATCGACACTTCGTAAATTTAAAAGAGAAGCAGTTTTAGCGCTTATAAAGTGTTGATACTTTCAAAAAATATATCGATCAACAACGATATAACAGGTAAAAATATGATAAAACTGGTATCAAAATGATGAAACCGGTAAAACGCTACCGGATATATTGAAAGTGTCGAAACTTTATATAAAGATCGACACTTTGTGAATTTAAAAGAGAAGCAGTTTTAGCGCCAATAAAGTGTCGATACTTTAAAAAAAATATCGATCAAACAACGATATAACAGGTAAAAATATGATAAAACCGGTATCAAAATGATAAAACCGGTAAAATGATACCGGATATATTAAAAGTGTCGATACTTTCGTAAGTACGTGTAATAAATTATCTACACTTTCAAAGAAATACGTAATTATCCTTTCGAAAGTATCGACACTTTTGTATTTGTATCGATTAAATATAAATAACATAATCGATGAAAATATAAAGGTCATAGCTAAATATCCTCTGAAAATAGATAAAACGGACGAGTTTTTGAAATCGAAGCGTAATTGTTGCTGCATTTCAGAAGGCGTTTCTAAAGCGAAGTTTGTTTGTTTGTTGCTGCAGTCGAATCAAAAAGTATGTTGTCGAAACCTTAATTTTTTATTATTACAGTAATTGCGATAGGGTTTTTATGTGTTGTTTTGGGTTTTGGAGTAAAGAAGCATTTGGGACCGATTGCAGGTAGAAAGTGATATTCAAGGAAAAATATAAATGTAGATAGTTTTATTAAATATTATAGGTAGAAAATGATATTATAGGTTGTATAAATGTCCGACACATTTTGTAGTGGCCATTCAAATTCTTTTGAAGAAAACCGTTTTACCACAAGAGTAGTTATCTATATTTGTATATTGAATAAAGTGTATGTAACAAAATAATTTGATTTGCGTAAACTGATATACAAAGGCCAGGAAAAATGGAGTCAATGGGTTGAAAAATTGTTGGTGGCACATATGACTTTGAAATTGAGGCCGAGACTCAAAAGCAACCAAAGGGTGGATATATGTACTTCTAGTAAGTATCAATGTCTTTTTGTTATTATTGTTGAAATGGTAATTGAATTAAAGTATCGATAAACTTTAAATTGATTACAAATTTTAAATGTTGACAGTATGGCCGAATGCAAAAGGATGAAGGAAGATGGCACACAGAGCGGTTCGGTATGTAAAATGAAATTGACATTGAGTATTATTTAGTGTTAATGTATTGATTAAGAAACGTTTATGTTTAATATTAGGTGACAAAATATGTGAGGTCCAAATGGAATTCGATGAGTGATGCTGAAAAGGAACCTTACATCACACAGTCAAGGAATGATAGTAAAGAATACAAAGAACGGAGGAAAGCACATGAAAATAAGGTATTCATTAAACTTGTAAATACATTGATACAAAATATATAAGAACTATAACATTATATATTGTTAAAAAATGTAGGAAGTGTCGACAAGATGCAACATTAAAAGGGTGAATTCATTAATTAAACACCTTAAGGAGAATGATCAGTTGAATGTGCTGGGAGAAATAGGTTTTGGATCGTTGGTAGGAGTAAGGGATCGACCTATTCGGAGGGAATTGTGTCGATCCTTGATGGCGCAATTTGATGTCAGACAATGTATTGCTAAGTATGGTGATTTTTCATTTCCTCTCGGGATCCCATGTGCTGCAGCTGTATTGGGGGTAGAAAATGAAGGCAAAAGTGTTGTAGAAGTCTGTAAGAGTAAGGACTGGAAAGCACTTGCCTCCAAATATGGTTTGAAGCAGAAGGTGACATATGCTGAAATTGAAGAGGAAATAAAAAGTGGATCTTACGGGGGGATGAGCTGAAGGCCAGAGTTCTATTATACCTTGTCGGTATCTTTCTTTGTCCAACGGGTGATACGTCAACGAACAATGAATATATGAAGCTCGTTTGCAATGAAGGCTTGAAGGGTGAATATATCCATTCGAGATTGATTGAATTAATAATCACCTTTAAAAATGGCAGCCAGAGATACCTCAAAGGGTGCATAGCAATCTTACAGGTAAATGAGTTGAATAACTTTTTTGTGTTTTTATATAAAATGATAGTATAGTTATTATATAAAAATATAAATTTTATTATAAATGCAGGTTGCACTGTTCGATTTTTGGTCGGGCTGTGAGGCAGTGTCGGCTTATGAAAGAATCGGAGTGGCACGCATCCGTGCATGGGGGAATGAAGAGGTGGTTAGAGTGATGGTGAAGTTGAAGTTAGATAGAGCAAAAGCAAGAAAGGGTAATAAATGTAATTAAATAATATTAAGAATATAATCAATGTCTTAATATTGTAATTTAATTTTGAAGGTTATTGGCAATGATGTAGAGGAGAAGAAATGAGAGATGGTTGTATTGGGGGATGACGGTGAGGGGGCGACGGTGAGGGAAAACAGAGTAACTTCACATTTTGATGTCTGAATTGGTTGATATAAAAAAAATCCAATTTTATATCATGCAAAGACAATCAAGAGTCAAAGAGAAACTTGATAGAGTCGAAGATACACTTGAGAGGCATAAGGGGGTAGTGGAAGGAAAAATAGATGGAGTGGTGAAAGAAGTAAAGGTGTTGAGGGGTGAAGTGGTGAAAGAAGTTGAGGTGTTAAAGGGTGATCTTAAGATGGTGACGGGTGAAAAATTTGAGGGAGTGGTGAAGGAGGTTGTGGAATTGAGGAGTGAACTTACGGGGGTGAAGGGGGTGGTTGATAACTACTTGGATGAAGGAGATCAATTGAAGGGTGAAATAAAAGAGATGAAGAGCTATGTAGAAAAAAATACGATAAACTGAAAAAATATGAAGAAGAAAAGAGGGAGGAGGAAGAAGAAGAGATGGAAGAAAAGAGGGAGGATGAAGAAGAAGAGATGGAAGAAATGAGGAGGAAGGAAGTCGATGTCATTTATACACCGGAGAGTGTTATGGCAACAGATTTGGATTCGGAATGTCCTGCACCCCAGAAGAAGAAGCAGAAGGTAAGTTGAACAAAATAAAACTTAATTTGATCTTTATTATGTTGTTGTGACAAAAATTTGTATGCAAAATTATAGGTTGAAAATGCGGATATTCCAAGCGGAATTGATGACATCGAAGCTGCAATTTGTGATTATTTATGGAATAGTGAGTTAGAATCGGGGTAAGTGAAATATATTGCTTGTGAGTGATATTTAAATATTTCATGAGAACATATTAATCCTAATGATTCATACAGATATTCTGTAATCTCAATGGGAAATCAATTCGCTACTGTATACGACGTTGCAACGTTGAAGCCTATGGAATGGGTTGGCGGTGTGGTAAGTAGAAAGTATAAAATGTTAAAACTTATTGAATATGTTCTGATTGTGTA